TATCTATCTATATCTATATCTATATCTATATCTATATCTATATCTATATCTATATCTATATCTATATCTATATCTATATCTACATCTATATCTATATCTATATCTATCTATATCTATATATCTATATATATATCTATATATATCTATATATATCTATATATCTATCTATATATATATAGTGTGTGTGTGTGTGATATATTTCTAGAAATATATATATTTCTAGAGTGGTAAGCAAGTACACACTATTTTTTGAACAGCTCTTTTAAAAATGATCCTTTTAATCTCTAAAACTTAGTCATCTATTTATTAACGTCAATGGATTAAATCTATTTCTTCTTTTATAATGATTTACCACTACCAAACTGTTATGATTATACTTTATATGATAAATATTGCTGCAGTAAAAAAAATGTCTGTGCCAATTTAAATGTGTTATCTTAGATCATTGAGATACACACTGCAACGAGTGTGGTTATCAGGCTAATAGTTGCTACTATTTTGATAATCAACAATATCTGAATGACCCTAAAAAACAGCAGAAACCAGACTCAGTGCCATCCAAGGTACATGATGCTACAAAGCTCCAGATCTTCATAACCTCACCAACCTTGTTTCATAGTTTTTCTAGTCCCCGCCCCCTTCTGGTGCAAACATTAAACCCATGACTACACGTGGGCTGTGCAAGCACTCTGCCACTGGCTATACCCCTAGTCCAATTTGATTTAAGTATTGTAATTAGTATTTATTTGATGGTTAAATATTTTCCCATGTTTATTTTTCCTGCCTTTTGTGTAGACCATGTTTGCATTTTCTGCATTTATGAATTTTAGACACGAGACTTAAAAAGCTATTGACTTTTCCTTTCTATGTTTTTCTACTTTAGATTTTACTACAGGATCTTTTAATTTTTGGATTTTATTCCATACAAGTTTGGAATTGCATGTGTGTGTTTATTTTGTCTTCTCCACCAGCTTCTATTGTTTCAATTATTTTGGAAAAAATGTTTTGTGTTCAGTGGTGATTTGGAGGAATGTTGATCTCTTCAGTCTATCGTGAGTTTTTATGCTAGGGAACAGAGGTATGTTAAGTTTTCTTCAAAACTTTCAATTTTGTCACAGTACTTCAGAAGCTTATACCGTAAAGGGTCACTTACATCTTAGAAAAACCTGCATCCCTTTTAGCTAAATTTTCAATTTTATTTAAAATCCTTGTGTTTGTGCTCGCGCACATGTGTGCATGCATTTCTTCACACGTTGGGATTAAAGGCATGTACTACCACGTCAGGCAATTGTTGTGTTTAAAAAAAGCTGGCGAAACCATAGTCTAAAGCTGCCATTATCAGCAACAACAGTGCATATTTATGGATTAGATGGAGCTTGTCAGAGAAGCTTGTCATCTCACCTACACAGCCTTACTGCTATGCCTATGCCCTGCTGGTTTCCACTACAAATACTTTAAAGGTATTGTGACATAGTCTCTAAGTCACAGTCATTGCTATAGGTAATCCTGAGAAGGATTCCAGACTCCGGGAAAACAGCCTAGAGCGCATGACACCTGGCATGCCTAGCATCCCGCCCTCTCACCCCACTCCCAAATATCCAATCTAATTCTCAGGCCAGCAGCTCCATTTCTACCTCTTGATGTCATTCCTACAGCACGATTGACTTGGAATACAAACCAACTGTGGTGCGGTTACTATTTTTCCTCTGTTTCACAAAGAGCTATCTCATGGCTTGGAAATTGTAACGTATGCTAGAGAGCAGACACAATCCATTAACACAGGATCATAACAATATGTTGTTATTAATGTGTATGCCTTTGGAGCATATTGCTGTTATCAGCTTAATTTAAATGTGGTCAGTTGTTCCTCAAGCTAAGATGAATGTGGAAGGTAGCTTAAAACTATGTCGAGGGGCTGGAGTGATACCCTGGTAATTGACCTGAGTTCAATTCTTGGAACTGATGTAAAAGAACTGGGTGTGGTGGTGCAACGCTTGTAATCCCAGAGCGGAGAAGATGGAGACAGGAGAGTCTCTGGAGCTCACCAAACACCAGCCTAATCTCAGTAGGGACCCCCAGATCCCGGTGAGATGCTTTCTCTTAAAACCCAAGGTAGGTAGTCTCCCAGTAACAGCACTCAGGGCAGACCTCTTCTTCTCACATACACACCTGTACACTTGCTCATGCACATACACACACACACATGTGTGTGTACACACACCACACATATGCATGCATACACACAAATACATGCATACACACACACACACACACACACACACACTTCTTAAATACATTTGTTTTTTTTTTTATAATACATGAAACTGAAGAGGTCTGGGCCTATTGCTCCTTGACAAACAGTTAGTTTGTTAGTTTTTGGTTTCTCCTCTTATGAAAATTGGGTCGAGACCAGATTACATTAGTAAGATTATTCTGAATAACTTGAGACACATGAATATAGGAACCATAAAAATAAGAGGAATTTAATAGGATAGAAAGCCAGCTCAGTCTTTGTGGTCTTAAATCTGTCCGTTCTTCCTTCTTACCAGGTTCATGTCCACAGACAAGATTGTCTGTCATTTGTAAAGCTGAGATGAAGGCACCACCTCAGCATTGATCAAATGACATCACATAAGTTATGACAAAAGTTAGGAGCCGATTACCCCACCCACACCAATTCTTATTGTCACTCTAAGAAGTTGTATAGAACTATTGGTTGGTGAGAAATTGAAAGTTAACTGAAAGAAAAAAAAAGCATTCTAACTTGGAAGTAAATATAATCCATTTCCCCAAATATCTAGCCAGATCGTTTTTGTTCTAAAACCAGAAAAAGTACTCAGTCCAAAGTTATTGCTACAAAGCTTTATGCAGCTACGATATGGTTGAGCAATTAACTTATTCCAGCTACTCCAAAAGAGTGTCCTTGTTAAATATGAACAGTTAACCAAATATACTTCAAATCTTTGGCCATAATTTAAAATTTTTCCTATTGGAAAGTATATGTGTCCAGAGCTATAACTCTGTCCTCAGGAGATCTGAGGTTTACGTTCACCTTTCTCACTAAAATTTCCTCTCAAAGGAAAAAAGGCTTTCTTTCAGGTGTCCCTCATGTCTCAGGTTGTCTGTGGTGTGCTCTGCACATGTGTGGTGAGGAGGGACTTGGTGTTGGTCCCTCTCATTTCCTTTCGGGGCCAGGATTCCATAGATATCCAGTTAATTTCAGAGCCCTGGTGGCTGGATGTTGAGAAGTGAGGATGCAAGGACCCCAGTGTCCTTTCCACACTGGCCTTACAGATTCCGGGAGAGGGAGAGGCAGGGAGGTCAATAGAGTGAATGCTTTATACATTTCATCACTTTGGATCCTCAGAATAAACTTAGATGGATGTGCCTATTCACCTAACTAATAGGTGGTGTGGTTATACTGTTCTACCTGAACCCATATCCTGGGCTATTTGGCTCTCAAACTGTCTTAACTATTGTGAAATGGGGTTGACTCCACTATTACAGGGATGGCATTATTTGCACAAACCAAATAGATATTCTAAGATGGAAAAGGAAGTATAGAGTCAGGGATTCCTATTCCTTGTGGATCTCAAGTAAAGTATAATGTAAAAAGTTTTGCAGTATGCCTTTGAATAGATGGGCACCTTGCCAGTAACAAAATCTCTGAATTCCCACTCCCTAAGACTAGTTGGTGGCGTCTTTAAAACATAACAATAAAACAGGGATAGTTAAGTGGTGTTCCTTGACTGGGTGAGTGAAGTAAGAGTTGATTTCATTGTGCCAGTATTTGGAGTCTCAGGCAGCTCATTATAGGGAGCAGTCTGTGAAGTATTAGATGCTAGCTCATGGGCTTAAGGTGTTTCAAGGACATCTTATACCCTATGAATTGACACTAGTCTAAGGGACTTCAGAGAGCTAGTGACACTTATGGGGATAAACAGTAGTGTTAAACTGACTCCAAAACAACATAGCTTGTTCCTTACCATGCTGTACTATCTAACATTGCTGATCTCAGACCACCAACAAGAACTAAGTGACTTGAGAGAGTTGTGTAACATTACTTGTCTAGCATCAACAAGTTTCAGCATTTCCTAGTGTACTAGTTTAATGATTCAGGCATTAGGAACTCTGAGTAGGATGTTACAGTGTGGGGAACCTTCCTGGGATAAGACAGCTCTTGGCTTCTCTGCTAGGGACCAGATCTGATTCTCAAAAGCAAACCAAACTGATGTCACTAAGTTTCGTTTTGCTTGGAATCTGTATTTCTCATCATCCATAACAATTGCATTTCAGCATCCTGGGAAAGGGCATGTCAGTCTGTATCTGCTCATTCCACCCTATGGGAAAATAGACTCTCCCATTCTCTCCAACTGGGTATTGGATGAGAGGATTCTTTCTGGGTAGGATGTTGCCCCATCTGACCAAGAGTCTGCTTTTTTTGAACCTGAACTGCTGCAAACCTGGCTGGCTAGACATTTGGTCCAGATTTACTATTTTCCCATGAACACTGAGGCTATTTTTCTGGTGGACTGAAACACTGACTCTCCTGTTCAGACTTCTATCCCTCAAACATACTCAGGGATTTCTGGGTGCATCTTGGAGAGACAGGGTTAATCCTGCTATGGAGTTATTTGTGCCCAGAAAGAGATAGAGAGAGATAGAGAGATTAAAGGATACTAAGCAAAGATAAATATATTTTTGCTAGTTGTTACAACAGGAAGTTATCAATCTGTTAACAGTCTGAGTGCCACAGGTAAATACATGGAGTTCCTAATACTCCATGAGAATTGTTGTCTTCTCCCACATATACAACCTCGAGAAAGAAAGGCAAAGATGTACATTTTCTTAGTTTTAAGCGTTTAGTCTTCTTGACCGTGTTCTCTAAAACAAAGAAAAAAGCATTTATAAGAATCATTTCACTTTCTGATTTCCCTCTCTGCTCCCCACTTTGTCTGTAGTCATTGAGAGTTGAATTAATAATATTTCATGGATGATAGTGGCAGAGAGAAACACTTCCGGGTTAGTAGGATAGACAGCTGGATATAGATCTTGAAAGAGAGAAGAAAGCTAAGTATGTTGAGGGGAGTCCTTAAAACAAAACAAAACAAAACACAAAACAAAACAAGCCAAACAGACACAAAACTCACGCAAACAGGACCAATTTCTTGTGGATCTCCATGGTTTTGACCACATCACTGAACTCTTCATAGGATATCCGGCCATCACCATCCTTATCCAGGACTAAGATACTTTTGTCCACCAGCTGCTGCAACTGCCAGTCCTTGAGGTTGTTTCCCACCATCATCTTAAGCACCTGGAAGAGCTCCCCGTTGGAGATGAAGCCATCATTATCCATGTCGTAGATTCGGAAGGCGAACCTTAGCTTCTGCTCTTCGTCACCTTTGACGCTGAACTGGGAGGTGCCCATGATGAACTCTTGGAAGTCCACTTCCCCGTTGCCGTCTGTATCAAAGATGTCGATCACTCGGCCCACCAGCGGATTCTGCTGCAGCTCAGGCAGCGACATGAACTCTTCTACGCTCAGGGAGCCCGATTTGTCCAAGTCCAACTTCTTGAAGCTTTTGCCCAGCCTTCTAATCTCTTCCTGGTCGAAGTGGTTGCAGAGCTCAGTTTGGTAACTGGCCTCATTTCCCATGGCCAGGCAGTAGAGCTGGCAGAGGCAGCGGAGGGAGGAGATGGCAGGGCAGACAGTGCTACCGTTGGCCTGGGCAGCACGCGAGAGCACGTGGGAGGCAGAAGTGGGCAGCAGAGAGGAAAGTGAAACTGAGCGAGAACAGCAAGGCAGGAAATAGAGGCTGGAGAGGACCTGAGGACAAACTAGGGCTACCCAGGCGAGGGATAGCTGCATCTGGGCTGCAGTTTCCCTTATACTTTCTATCTCTCCTGGAAATTATTTTCTCTTTCATCTCCCTTTCCCAAGAAATGTGAGCCCCAAGGGAATTAGGGACACATCTAGATAATTCATATAGTTTGACAGCCGTTATATACATAACAGACATATATTAAATGACTGGGTGAAGGCAGCAGTAGACTGCTGCTTCCTTTGCAGGCACAGTGTGACTGCCAGATAAAATGGTAGTCCAAGCACTGGTATGAGGTGTATTGCCCATAATTCTCCCTGGGAGAAGCCAGTCTGGCATCCACTTGGACCTTTTTCAGGACTAGAGGTTCAGGAGATGCTTAAGAAAACAGAATTTCTTAGCTATACAGACATCAATATACTCTTGAGAAATAAAAGACCTTATTAATTCGGAGCACTTTAAAAAAATAAAAATCAGGGTTCCCTAGAGCATGTCCTCTGTTGCTGTGTGATTTATCTTCCTGACTGTGGTCTGTCTGGTGCCTGGGGTTGGCTGTCCCACAGAGCATGTAGAGATCTTCTGTAGAGTATCCTGGGAAGGTCTGTGTGTGAGTCACGTCATCCTCCCTTGCTTCCATTAGGTTTGTTCTTTCAGCCAAAATTAATCTTTCTTTTCTTTGGAGTAGTAACTCCAATTCTCAAAAATGTATAAAAGATACATGTGGTCCAAGAACAATCCAGTTTGAAGGGACTTGGGAGAACTTCAGGGGGGGCTAAATCAAAATAAGGGCAGCAAACACATACTAGCTTCCAAAAGGCAGGCGTTTCATGTCTTATGGTTTTTTTGTTTTGTTTTGTTTTGTTTAGACAAAGATCAGCTGGGAAGTTACCATGTGAAACTGCTGCAACTGAGCCACTGGACATTCTACCATTACGATTGGCCATTTAAATTTTTCTCTGTAAAAGGATAATAATTGTGGTGGTTTGAATAAGGGTGTGGCGCTCTCCCGCCCACCCCCTAGGCTTTGGTCCCTAGCTGGTAGCATTGTTTAGGGAGGTTTAGGAGGTGTGCAGAGTTTTACGTTTCGAAGACTTGTGCCATCCCAGTTTGCTCTCTGCTTCCTATCTGTTGCTCAGTTTTCAGCTTCCAGCTCCAGTGTCTATAGCTATTCCTGCTTGCTGCTGTGCCACTCCACTGTGGTGCTGATGGACTCTTATTCCTCTGAAAACAAAAGTTCCATACAAGTACCTCTTTCTATAAGTTGCTTTTGTCATGTTATTGATCACAGCAATAGAAAACTAACTAGGCATTAGTTAATTTTAAAGACTTTTAAAAATCTTTAAATTATGTGTATGTCTATGTGTAGGTATGTGCATTGAGCAAAGATGTCTATGGAGGTGAGACGAAGGCATTAGATCCTCTGGAGCTGGAGTTACAGGTAATGGTGAGCCAGCTCATGTGGGTGCTGGGAGCCAAACTCAGGTCCTCTGAAAGAGCAGAGTACACACTAAGTAAGGGTTGAGCTGTCCCTTGAGTGCTTGTTGGCTTTAAAAAACTAAAGCAAAATACCCTTTACCCAACCTAAGCTGTGATATTTTACTGGAGATGCATTTTGTCTTATTTGTGCTTTCTAGTTGCTCAGAGAAATTAAAAGGGCATAGTTTGTGTAAAAGGATTTGAATTTGTAATGTTAAAGGGAATCACTAAGCTGTCAAAGTTCCATGTAATCTTCGAACGTGGGAGACTGAGGCAGGAGGATTAGGAGTTCTAACTCATTGTGCATTACATAGTGTGACCATTTCAAGAAGAGGATGGGTAGAGATCACCTTAAATTATAAGATGATAAGATCATTGCTGATCTATAAATGCTACCCTCCCCAGCACTCTGCTTAATGTCCTTTCTATAGCACCAAGATTTTTCTAGATTTGTTGGGGGTGATGGGGTATGGATAGGCAAGCCCTGAAAGGACTTGATGTTAGTTTTATATTATGAAAATAAAATTGGGTTAATAGTACTTGGTGTAGATTCATGTGGATTAAGGCTGAGGTCGGCCAGTGTATTTACTGCTATTTTTATTAATCAATATTATTTTTATATGCTCTGTTATTATAAGCAACATCTAAAAGTGAGACTATCTGGCAGCCCTGGGCATGTTATCATACATGTACATATATGATAACAAATATTTGTTAGGAAACAGCTATAACAGATGCTAAGTCACCTGAGCAGGCTTTAGTGGAGAACATGGTGCATCTTCTGGTGTAGGTCACAGAACTATAGTGGGAACATCCTCTGACTTCAACATCAGTATCATAGGCAACACAAACCTTTGTCCAGAAAGTTCCAGTATGAAGGCTGGGCCCAAAGGACATGAACCCATACCAGTGGACAGACCTCTACCAGAGAATTGCAGACCAGGTTCCTTGAGACCAAAGTTAAGGAACCAGCCCCATGGCTACTCTACTTGTTCTGCTCTCAGTTTCTGTGCCACATCAATGGCAGGTATGAAGCCCTGAGGAGTCTTAGGAAAGGATATAGATCTGGTGGCCAAGGCACAGAGGTAAAGTTAAGAAGCAGGGGACAAAAAGCTGGGGGGAGGGTGTCTAGGTGAGCTGCAGCTAGAGCTATAGCTAGAGCCTCTCAGAACATGTGGCCACATGGGCTTGCCCCTCCTACCTAAGCTTTATTCTGTATCCAGCAGGGTGGGGAGCAGAAGAGTGTTGGGCATTGAGGGTTGCAGGGTGGGGAGGCCTTCCAATGGTAAGGAAGCAGCATCTAGGGCAAAAGTTATTTTCAGTTCCAGGCCCTGGAGAGGGGAATCTTCAAATGTAGGTAAGGCAGAGGAAGATGTCAGCTTTACTGAGTACCTCTTGTATCCTCTCATTTGGCAAAGAGAATGGACAATCACATTGTCTGCTCAGGACCAGGCAGCTGATGGGAGACATGATGAGACTCAGATCAGGCAGATCAGACTTGGTCTTCCTAGAGGGACCTGGACAAGTCTGGTAGTCTGGATGATGGAGAGTGCTCAAAGCATCAAGTCTGAATCAATCAAAGGTCCATATGTTTGAATACTTGGTCTAGCCTCCTATAGATGTATATATATTTGAATTCTTGGTCCCCAGTTTGGTGGAACTGTTTGATTAGGAGGAGTGGCCTTGTTGGGAAAAATGTCACTGGAAGCAGGCTTGAGGTTTCAAAAGCCTCACACCATTTGCAGTGCCTGCTTGTGGATCAAGATGTGAGTCCTCAGCTGGTCCTGCCGCCTGCAATCTTGGCTCCACCCTCATGAACTCTAACCTTCTGATATCGTAAGCTCAATCCAGTTGTGTTCTTTTATAAGTTGCCTTGGGCATAGTGTTTTGTTACATCAATAGAAAAGTAACTAAGATAACAGGATACAGGTAGGGACTTTCAGTCGCTAACTGTGGCAAACAGCTGGCTCTTTTCACTCTTTGGGTGTGACTCTTTATCACACTCATGTAAGGAATCCAGGCCAGACAATACCTCTGCCAAACAAGACAGACCTAAGGAGTCAAAACAATTTCATTTGATTTAAAAATGATTGTATTTCATTAAAAACTGGGTGTGAACTAGAATAAGTTGGAAAAAAAAAAGACAAAAAAGAAGGCGGGATGGAGGGAAGCCAGGGGGACTTCGTGGACGTTGGCTACATTCTGCTGCTGCTGCCCACTGCTCTCAGGACTCTCCATCATTAGCTTTGGCTCTTCAGTTAAGCCTCTGGAGATGTCTCATTTCAGGCTTGTGGACCTCAACAATGGTTATCAGGCACTCACAGGTTCCTTACAGCGTTTCCCTGTATAGTTCTTTGATGTTTGTTGCTGTAAAGGAGCCAGTAAATCTGTGTGTGTTACCAGGAGACAGAAATGGTGCCTGCAATCCTAGAGCTAGGAAGGCAGAGACAAGAGGGTTCCTGAGGTCTGCTTGCCAGCCAGCCTAACCTACTAGGTGAGTTCCAGGCCAGTAATAGACTCCGTGTCAGAAAACTAAGGTGGATAATGCCTGAGGAATGACACCCCAGGTTGACTTCTGGCCTCTAGCCATACACATACATGTATCCACCTGACCACTCAGACACATGAACATACCTACTTCATGTGATTACTGTGATGGGCAGATTAGGAGGTATATGGAGAAATGCTTTATGAGGAGAAGTACAGTCACAAGAATTAGCTGATCTAATGATTGGACAGACAATGTTGGGGAGATGATGCCACTTTATTTAAATGCTCCCAGTGTACAGAAGGATTCCCTTTGATCCCTGCACTGTAGAGAATTCAGCACTGTGGTGAAAGCTGGAATAGTTAGTCAGGGTGAGATTGGGTTTCCCACTGTTCTACGTTTCATAAACTTTGTATTTTGGCATCATAACGGGCCTCCAGCCATTTCGCCCATTTTCTCCATCCATTCATCATTCCTAGTCATTTCCATGGAAAGCACCATTTGTTCCTTGCTCTGTGTATCACCTCGGTATGTGTGGACTGTAGTGAATTAAAAGGCTTGATGATTGATTTGGAAGAAACCAGAAACCTGATGGCACTTCTGTTTTAGCAAAGCATTTCTCTTTAGTTTCATTTCTCCTCAAGAATTTTCAGATTAAGGGCCATGAGACGGTCACATGTATAAATAATTGACAAAAAATTGGAAGCTATGAGGCATGCGCTTTGTCTTTCACACCCTTCTGCATGTCTGTCAGGACAACAGGTCTCCAATCAAGATGACACACGCTATCAGATTCCTAGAAACTTTGCAGGGAGTCCTGAGCCTCTCCCAGAAGTACTTCTTCTGGTGCTACCTGGAGCCATGCTTAACAGATCACTATGT